TCACAGATGATCGAAATTATTATAATTTTTTTTTTTTTTTATTAAAGTCATGGCAGAAATATTTTTTTTATATTTAACCCCCATTACTACTTTTATGAAAACGCTAGAAATTCGATCGCATCAAATTTAGTGATTACAATAGTTAAAAGCACAAGGCTTTGAGGAATGCAAATCATGTTTTTTTTTTTTTTAATTGGACCCCCATCACCTGAAAATCAGCTCTGAATTGTAACATACAAAACTCAATAAAACAAAGATATTATTTAATTTCAAATGCTTTTATTTGCTTTTAGTTGTTTTTTATGAATATGGACAATATTTTCTGAAAGCAAAAATTTTTTCGATGAAAATGAATTTTTAATACAATTATTTGTTATTTCTTTAATTATAATAGATTTTTACATTTAAGTTGTTAAAATATTATAAAATTAGTTAAAAAGCCGCATCGGGTTTCGTAAATGTCCTTATGAGATAGATCTTTTTTTTACCGTGTTGTAAATTGTATCATTTTGACTAATCAGAAGATCCCCAGTAATTAAGAAATGTAATTTTGTGTTTATAATCGGGCTGTAATTATAAAGTACGGAAGACCAACCAGAATACAATTAAGTTGCGTTATTTGAGTTAAGCATTGTTCTCCGCTGTTAAGGCCTTTACTTTTTTGCGAAACACGTGTGGAGAAGTTAATTTGATTTTTCAATTTCAACTGAGAAGGTTACCTACAAGTATCAGTATCATCTTATGAAATTTATATGATCTTATTTTTATATTAATCTCAGTTATGACATTTTTCCATAAATGAAATATCAAAATTAATAATAAAATGAATGGAAATAAAAATAAAGTAAAATGTAATAAATGTACATAAAATTATAGTATTTTATGTACACTTCTGATAAAATTTCATAAGAAAGGTACCTATAAATTAATTAGATACCTTTCTTATAAAATATGAAATTTAATCTCACTCTTAACAGTCTTATTTTAAGTTCTTTATAATATATTTTCCATAAAGCATCGTAAACGTAAAGGTGAAAGCCAAGTACAAAAAAAAAAAAAAAAATTAGAGTACTGAAAGTTTTCCTTAAAAATAACGAGGTAAATAATTTGTTCACTTAAATGTAAATTATTTCACATTTCTCCTTCTGTAGAACAAATTAGCCTCACGGAATCCATCAATATGTCATTCATCACCTGTCAAGTGAGGCAAAAGTTTATGACCTGCTTTGTTTTATTTTCAAATTACATCTTTTTGGCACAAAAGCTAAGTTAAGCTTGGTTCAAAATATTTTAAATAAACATTATAATTTCTGATTTTCTTAAAATAAGTTTTGAAAAAATGATAATTGATATTTAAAAGAATTTCAAAGTGAGAGATTTTTTTTTTTTTATAAATGGAAAAAAATGGTTGTCAATTTCAATTTTTGACTCAAAAAAAAAAAAAAAAAAAGATTTTTAACGAAAATTTTGGACATGCTAGGAACGATTAAAAATGTAAAAAAATACCCCCAAAATACTTTGATCTTTCCTCTTAATAATAACAAACATTTAGACGATAAAATTTTGTTTTTGTCAAGTTTGGCGTCTTTTTCATCATGCTATGCTCAGAGCTGCTATCTGTACCAATGCAAAATTATAGGTTATAGGCATGAACAACCCCTACTGCTACCAGCATAACAAAATAGAAGGTATTACTTTCCATTATTAAAAAAAAGATGTCAACATTGCTTACTTCCTGCTACAAGGAAGTATCATTATGCTGTGCTATTTGAACCAGCATAATCATAGAAAAAAATGTGACTATAAAAAGAAGATGAGTATGTTGGTCTGAATAACAAAGCATACAACATCACTTACTTCCATTTACTCACAAGCTATGATCTACATGCTAAAGAGGTTGCTACTTTCAGGTTAGAAAATGATTTTATTTGAACATAATTAAATTATTAAAGCCATCATCAAAAGAGTCACTTATTTATAAAAAAAAAAAAAAAAAAAAAAAAAACGATTGGAAATGGATAAGTTATTTTTTAAAATTTTTATTCTAAAGCTGAATATACAAATTAATTATCTGCATTAAGCAAAAACTGTTAAGGTAGACACGAGATAAGATACAAGCTGGTAGATATGCAAGATGGAATGATGAAAAGCAGTTGGATGTTTAATATCCTTAAGTATCAATGTTTTCCATTCCTAAACATATTCCATTTTATATACTTTGGATATTTCATGCCAGTCATTTTATGATTTTGTTGGAATAGATAACCTTAACTGCCTAAGAATATTAAGCATCCTACTAATTTTCACATATTACATTTTACATACTTTGTTCTTATCTCTTGTCCACCTTAACTGTTCTTCCTTAATGGAGATAAGTGATTTGTATATTCAGCTTTAAAAATAAAATTTTTATATCAGTCATTTTATCATGCTGGTTGATATAAATGGTAAAACCACGTTTATTTCATTTTACAGTTTTAATTCATTTTCAGGGTTTACAGTAGATACACATTCATACACAAACTTTGAGCTTTATATATTAGATGCAGAGTTTTCCAATCCAAAAGGCAGCTCAAAATATGAATGTAGTACAAAAAGAATTACACATGATATAAGAGAAATTAAGGCTTGAAATGTAGAAATTGTTTGAAACACTGACCTCAACAATACACTTGATTTTTATGTGCTAAATAAGATTAAATTACAAGAAAAAGTTTTGTTTTTTTTTTTTTGAAGAAAAAGAAAATTTAGTTACATCATTTTCACATGCAGCATTTTCACTTTTTAAGCTTTCAGATCCTATACATGCAAAATAAGAAATTGTATGATTTAATAATTTTAAATGAAAACACATTTTGTGAACATTTTAAAATTTATTATTCATGTTTAATTCAAGTGCATTTTTAAGTTATATGAAAGAAGTAGTTGAATAAAGTTGGTTTCAAAGTGAATAGAATATCCATCCATTGCAATATACTTTTCATTAATAATTCCATGTAAATACAATCCTACAATTTAAAAATATGCAGACAAATGTCCAATTGTAAGCAAAACTTTATTTAAATTATCTTTTATGTGCCATGTTGCATTATGATGTGGGCAATCATGGCTCTCCAAAACTTCCTATTTTTTGTAGCTTTTAGAAATATTTGTCTTTTTACCAAAACTCCCTCTCCCTGTTCTGCTAGCCATTTACACAAGCTCATTACTTGTGGTTTCCTTCTACCCCTCTAGCCTTCAGTATGCCCTGCAAGTTAAATTCTCCAAGCCTCTTTCCTTATTGTCTCAGAAATTTCAGCTGTTTCTGATTCTAAGTGTCCTTCTTGTTTCTATGTTTCTTAAAACTTCCTTGTTGTTTATCACTCTGTATTCTCAGCATTCTTCTGTAGAACCACAACTCTATTACCACAAATCTTCTCTTAATGTGTGAGGAAATTTCTAGTATTAACTACCATATTAATATTACACAGCACCCTTTTCTTTGATTGTAACAAAATTCGTTTCTTATGGTGTTCAGCTTTTGAAAGGCATCTTTTGCTATTCTAATACACCTTCAAATTTCAGTGCCAGATTTTTCTCTATTTAAAACACTTCAGATATTTAAATTTATGTACTTGATTTATTTGTAGCTCACATCTTAAGCTGTTCCTCTTGCTGAAAATTATACATTCTGTCTTCTTACAATTGATGGTTAGTCCCTTCTTCCCGCATTCCTTTACTTTTTACTATCTTGCTGCCGTTTTCTGCGTATTATAGAAGTGTTTATATTGTGTCCTCCGATAACAAATCCTTGCAGGCCCTACATTCAAGATTAATACTTTTTTATTATTATTGTGAAAAAAATATTTTTAACTTAAGGCAACTACTATTTTTTAACTAACTTGTTTCTACTTACCTAGGCTATATTTCTTTTTCTTTTTTTAACATAACAACTAGACGAGCAAGCTTAACTCTCATTCAAGGTTAGCAAATTGAAGAAAAATGCCAGGAAAAATAGGTGTGGCGTCACCTCAATTTTAGAGAAGCAGTCAAAATTTCATAACACATTAAGGATTAGAAGTGTTGTTCTTTTTTTATCCGATCTGTTTTACTTTGGTTTTTAAACTCTCAAGCGTTCTTAAATTTTATGTTCCTGAAAATGTTAGCTGCTGCACGTTGGTAGATTGAAGTCATGTAATGCTTACAAAATCATTAGATAATAAACAAAATGGATTAAATTTGAAGATAAAAAATAAACATCCGTTGAAAAGAAAAAAAAATTATTGACAATTTTCTGGTATACGAGTACTTTAGTACTTCATTTCACGAAACAGTGTACGTACACACTTCTTGCAGCGAGTATTGAATTTCTGCTTTCTTTTTTTTTTTTAAATGTTCAAATTTTCTTAAAATTAAAAATATGATTACAGAGAAAAAATGTCCACCCTACATCTCTTCTTCATTGTTATGTAATAAATACGTTGTGAAACTACTCCCAATCAATACGTGTTCTTACGAAATCGTTTTGAAAACCTTGATTCAAAACCAGTACACTACAGAATTTGCATTAGTGCGTAAGTTTTAATATGGGTATTTGTTATTTTTTTCTAGTTGATCAAGATTTCACTTGCTCAAAAAAATCATAAATCATCAAAAAGAGCCTGAATGAGAAAGGCTAATTTTACGTGTTTCGCTTTTATAGTCTCCCCTTTTTAACACGCTCTAAAACAGCATGTTTTGTTTCCTTACGTGTTTTACTCAAATGAGTCTTTTCTTTTTCTTCAATTATATAATAATTTTAATAAATCTGTTTAATTATAATTCATAGATCACAAACTGGAATTGTTTTTACACAGAATATTAATAAACAAAAACAAAACTAAAAAAAAAAAAAAATGCCAGAGAGAAAATTGAAAGTTAAAAATTTGAAATTTCACTTACGAATAAAATTTAACTCTAAAAGATTCAATCTGTAAGATGAAAATAAATATTTTTTTTTTTACCTTCTTTAGAATGCTTACCTTGGAACCTTATTTTTATCAAATCTAATGGATGCAGCACCAGCGTAGACAAGACACCACCACTTACACCGGCTACTAGATGCTCCATATCTCTCCATTTTAACAAAGGCCCCGCTTCTGTAATCTTTGAATTTGAAGTGGACAACCCACCAAACAATCGACTGTTACTGTTGTTGCTATTAACGCTACTGTTGTTGTTACTAGCGGTAGAGTTCTGTCCGGCCACTTTTGATGTTACATTAGAAGAAGCATCCATCACTGCTATAGCAGTAGCGGCATTGGCAACTTTAGACATGCTACTCGATGGAATCCCTGAATCAGGAAGCCTAATAACGCTATATCATAAATAATGAGTAAATATAGAAAAGTAATCCTTAGTCTCTTGACTCTGTAGGTTCGCATCAATAAAGTACCACCACGATAGTACGACCTCCATTATAGTTTATTAAATCGTAAGAATAAGAACAGTTGGAGCTTAAATATTATGAACGATATTATTGGTTAATACTTTCAAGGTCTTCCGATCTGATATGTGTGCTTAATTTCCATTGGCTTTCTACACTAACAAATCAACAGCATAGTACCAACATACTACGACTTAAACAAGGCATTTTTATAAGACAAAATTAAAACCATAAAAGAAATAAAATTTATACAAATAGTTTTACATGGCATTATTGCCATGTAAAACTATTTGTATAAATATTTTATATATTTGATTTGTAATTTTAGCTTTTAAAACTTTGTAAATTATTTTTCTACTAAAAATCTGCATTATATGTTCTCTTTTTGCTAATCATATAATTAATTGTGACTAAGATAATCTAAGCGTTTTAATAATTATAAATATTTATTTCTTGTTATTAAACATATCCAAAAGATAATTAAAAGTACAAAAAATCATTTTCAACAAAGCTACTTAAAATAAGTTATAGTGAATATAAAATTAAAATATTTAGCATATTTTTATTCACAATTAATTTTTTTCATTTCTTATCAAGAAAGAAAAACTTATTACCTCTGAATTACCATTTTGGGAAAGACAGTCGAGTGTTTTTCTGTGGCCTTCTCTGTGATTTTGAATTCAAAGTAGTCTTTCTCCTAGATTGGCTGCTACCCAAGGCTAGAGAGCCTAGCATACCTTACTATTTAATCCATATCTGGTGGGAAAGAAGAGAGGGATTCACGCCTTTCCAAAAAGTATTAATACAAAAGTGAACACAGTAGACTAGGCAAGAATTTAAACTCAGCTTACTTTCCGCACTGATAACCATTATGCTACATACAGCCACCTCACTTCTTGGTTTTTAGCAAAATTTATTTTTTAGTTACTTTTTTCATTAAGTAGAAACTATATAATTAATGATAAAAGCAACTCAAAAATATATTTTTGTAAAAAAAGAAATTATTTTGTTAATATAGAAAAGTAATCCTTAGTCTTTTGACTATGTGGGTTTGCATCAGCAAAGTACCAACACGACAGTACAACATTCTCCACATATTGTTTATATTAATGAAAATAATTTGTGGGTGTTTGTGTGTGTCTGATAAATTTCATCAGATATAAAAATGCAGGCACCAGTTATAATTATGATTATGCGCCAATAGGAAGTTGTTAGAATTATGAGATTATGTATGTACTCTAGCCAATTTCCCTCATTTTCCTTTTGATTTTGCTTTTATCACTTTCATTAAGTATCCTACATTGTGATAACAGAAGATATGCTAAGAAAGGTGAAATGTTGTAAGAACCTGGATGTAAATTTTTCACCTTAGTAAATTGCTTTCTCTCTTAATTAAAGCAGCATTTTTTCAATCAAATTATGGTCAGACAGTGAGTAACTAATGCATTGAATATGTTGTTTTTTAAAAGATGTCTTTTGTGATGTCCTTTATTTAAGTTCCTCAAGCTTTCTCCTAGTCCTTGTAGCAATTATTGCAAGTGATAGAGTAGATTCCTCCTTCATGTTTTAGCCTATTATTATTTTATCTTGTATTAATTCTCTTATTGTTTTCGAAGTATTTGTAACAAATTTTATCTTAAGCTTAGATAAATTCTTTTCAATTTTAGACCCGATTGAGTTAGTAGGTAAAATATTATTTTAGTCCAATGGAGTCCTAGAGAATGAAACATTTTACACCAAATTTTTACCACATTGTAATTGTACTCAGTTTTTCTAGGATCTATCTTGTTCTTGTAAAATTACTTTACTGGAGTCTTCACTAAATCTCAATTTTACTATATCGTGCTACCCTCAGATTGAATTCTCCAATCAAATTAAGCCATAATAAACTTTCACTAACATGATGAATGTGCCATAATAATGACACCTTAGAGGACAATAAACCATTCATTGTTATTCTTTTAACTCAGTTTTTTTTATTAACTTTATGACTCTTTTTTACCACAACTTAATTTCATAGCATCCACATTCATGGCAACTCTTAAGTCAAGTACAAATAACCAAGCATAACTCTTCTACAAAGATTTATAGTACAAAAAATTATTTAATGATTTTTAATTCAAGTAATTCATTTTGAGTTAAAATTTTCATGAAATACATATATCCTTTAACCTCTCTGAAAATATACTAACAGAAAATACAATTGCAATACCATAAAGAATGATGCTAGTTTAGACAAAGTACAGTCTGTGCATGATATTCTGAAAAAGGTTTTCATTTATTGTGTTATGTAACATCTGTGTCTGAACTTCAGACAGCAATGCATGCTGTGATAAGGTTCAGTATGTTGAAAGAGTGCAGTGCAAACAGGTGCCATGCCATGAAGATTTGTGGAAGACAGAAATAAAATTGATAAATAACATAATAATTGTTTATAACAACATCAATAATGTTGATTATGCTTATGATGGTTTTAAACATTCCCTCATGGGACTGTAAGTGCTTACAATCATCATAATTGTAATCAACATTATTGATGTTGTTATAAATGACCCCTTCTTAAGGTAATTTATTTTCTTTATTAATTTATTCCCACTTTTCCAGATTACAAAATAAATAATTACAAATTAAAGGTTGTTTTGGTTACAGCCCATTCATTCACTTTGTGAAATCAAACAAATATTTTGGATTTGTATTGTTCATCCGCACTAAGTTTTTCCAGTACTTTCCTTGTATTATCATTTGTTTGAAAATCCTTGTCATGATCATTAATTGGTTTCTTTCTCAAAAGTCTATTTTCAAAAACTTCCTACTCCTTTAGAAATCCTCTTAATTATTTTTCACAATATACAACCTGTTGTCTGTGTCTGCTGACTTGATTGTTCCTTCAGTTTTCCAATATTTTTCTTTATCTAATTTTATTTTAACTCTATCTCCTCTTTTTAGAGGTGGTAAATTTAAGGCCATATTTTCCAAGTTGGAATGAATTGTCAGTTCATGACAATTTACTATGATTTAAGGACAGAATTGTCATACTTGAGAAACTTAGACCAGAATTCTGACACCATGTCTCACTGGGCTTAGGGTGGAAAGATAAATTATATGAGACTAGCAGCTGAAAAGTTGAATCAACACAAAGACAACAACAACATCAATAATGTTGATTATGATTATGATGATTGTAGGGAATGCTGGGAGCAAAACAAACTGAGTGGCAATTTGAATAAAACAGTTGCTAAGTTTACATCTTGTCATCTTTATCTTGATTCAATTTTTCATGGGCCAGTAATTTATCTTTCCATCTAAAGCCCAGTGAAGCAATAATAATGAATAATGAATAATAAATAAAGAAAAAGAAATACATTTTCCCATGATGCTAAGATTAAAGGATCTGGAAATATGATTAACCCATCTGGCTTTGCTTTGCTATTAGGTGGCACTGTTGAAGTCTATAAAAAGATAAACATTTCCTGCCTTGATCTCCTTTTATTTTTTGCTCTAAGATGTAGAATCACATAGTAATTAAATTCCCACTGGAGAATGTTAGTTTCTCTAGTTCAGTGATGACTGAACTCTCTTTTCGCATTGTGCTCGCTTATGAAGTAAGTCAAGTTTTATCTTTGGTTGTGCCATTGTAATGATGCTAATAGTTACTTACTCTAACTTTCGGACCAAGAAAAAAAAAACTGAACCCTATAACCTTCCAATGATAAAGTAAGTACAAACCTTCCTTTGATCATTCCAAATTTGCACAAGGCTAACTTGAGTTTAACTATTAATGCAATGCTTATACTTACTTACTCTAACTCCTGGACCAAAAAGAAAACAGACATACCCAAGAGACGTTAAGAAATTTGTTTCACAACAGTTTATATAAAAAAGAAAATAAACAGTCTGTGGTAGAAACCTAAGATTTTTTTGTATGCTTCTTCTTAATTGTTTACATATATGAACACACTCACTTGAAATACACACAAACATGCAACCTTTTAAATTCCATAGATTCATATGTGCTATTTTTGTTCAATTAGATCTGTTTACATCCACTGTTGATGTTCTTTGGCCAAAGTATGTCACTACAACTGATGCTGTAGTGTCAATAATGGTACACTTTTTGATATCTGTAAAATCTCATGGAATGCAATGTTTGAACAGTTGCATTGGGATATGTTTTAATACAATGTTCCTTTTTAATGGACAGTTATCATTCTTGTCATTCACCAATTGTCCCATTCTTGATACTGATTTCTCTTTCGAATTCACATATTCCTGGTATACCCTTGCTACTATTGCCTAAGAAAAACTTGGATTAGTTATCACATCAGAGATAGAGTGCTTCATATTTATGACCCTAACAATAATTCATTTGCCAAACATTATTAAATCTTGTCTACAGCCCATGATTTACCTTTGATTTTGATTATACTGCAACAGTTTTTTTTTAAAAAAATGTGTACTTTTCTTTATTTATTCTAGCATTGAAGATGGAAGAATGGAATCATATTTTCAGTACATTGTTTGTTAACTTTAAAAAAATCAAATATGTGAATAAAAACCAAAAACAAATTCTGCAATTTATGGAGAAATTATTTTGGATGATCAAATGTATCAAAAATGGTTTACAAAGTTGGGTAGACCAACTTAGACTGATTTGCAATGAAATTATGACATTCATTGAGAATAATCATCATTATACAGCATGGGAGAGAGTCAGTATATTCATTCAAAATAACCAAAATCATTTGCACCAACTTTGTTATGTTAGTCACCTTAATGCACAGCTTCCATATAAGTAAAACAAAAAAAAAAAAGAAGAAAACTAATAGAGCATATTTCTATGTGCAATCCATTAATTAAATGTAATGAATATATTTCCCTTTTGAAACAAATC